CCCCCCAAATTTTTTTTTTATTTAAGTAATCTCTACACCCAACGTAGGGCTCAAACTCAGGACCTCAAGATCAAGAGTCACATACTCTACCGACTGACCCAGCCAGGAGCCTCTTAGGTTAATGTCCTTTCCTATCCTGGCTTATCAATTAGAATATATCAAGTGCTCTTAAATTCATTATTTGGATTTTCCATCATGTTAACTTTCCCCACTTTGCCAAAGTGACCTCTGATCCTCTCAGGGCCTTTTATCTGGAAAACTCATGTGGCCTCTCTTCCCTGGCTACTTCTTCCTCAACCTTTAGGCCTCAACTTCAATGTCCTTAAAATCCTTTCCCTTTCTATCCAAAAGAAGTAACCTCTGTTATCCCCTAGGTCAAGGCTCTTGTTTACTTCCTTCTTAACAGGTAACATCAGGACGCCTGTTAAGCCTCTGACTCTCGGTTTTGGTTCAGGTTGGGAGATCAAGCCCACATCAGGCTCCCTGCTCAGTGCAGCATCTGCTTGAGTTTCTCTCTCCCTCTCCTTTTGCCCCTCCCCCACTCGTACTTTTTTTCTCTCTCTCAAATAAGTAAATAAATCTTAAAAAAAAAAGTTACCATTTTTGCTATTTTCTTTATGCCTACTAACTTGCCTTTTCATGTGCCCCCCTCAAGAGAATGTAGACCCTGTGTGGGCAGAAAACACATCCATATTGTTCACTGTTGTATATCTGAGCCTAGCCTAGTGCCTGGTACATAACAGGTACTAAAAAAAAACATTTGTTTAATGAATTATTTAAAATGAGGTATCTTGGGACACCTGGGTGGCTCAGTCAGTTAAGCGTCTGCCTTCGGCTCAGCTCATGATCCCAGGGTCCTGGGATCAAGCCCTGCATCAGGCTCCCTGCTCGGCGGGGAGCCTGCTTCTCCCTCTCCCACTCCCCCTGCTTGTGTTCCCTTTCTTGCTGTGTCTCTCTCTGTCAAATAAATAAAATCTTTAAATAAATAAATATAAAATGAGGTATCTTTTCCACATCCTTTCAGAAATAAAGGCCCTATTGGACACCTGGGTGGCTCAGTCAATTGAACGTCTGCCTCCAGCTCAGGTCATGATCCCAGGGTCCTGGGATCCAGCCCCGCATCAGGCTCCCTTCTCGGCGGGGAGTCTGCTTCTCCCTCTGCCCCTCCCCTCCCCCTCATGTTCTCTCTCTCACTCTCTTGCTCTCAAATAAATAAAATATTTTCAAAAAAGAAAAAGAAAGGCCCTATATAAATATTTCGTATTTAGCCAATCTGACTTATTTTAAAATAATCCATCCATTCAAACTGCCACTGTCTGAAATTACAGACTCATCTCTCACAATTCAGTCATCCCCAGAATGAAAAAAACCATTATTATATTAAGGACTCTCTGCTGAAAGCAGAGGGCCAGGAAGGTGAGGATGAAGAGCAAGGGATACTTTTGGAGTGAACAGTAATATAATGATAAAGGAGTATGAAATGAGCCAGGTTCAAGCTAGATGTGCAACCCAGTCACATAACCACTGTGTCCCGCACAACAACTCCATGATGCATCTGCCTTTACGGTTTAAGGTTATTTTGAGGCTCAAAAAAAGTAAAAATGTGAATCCCCAGATCATATGCTTCCAGAACACCATGCTCTGATGTTTGCAAATTTAGCACAGCTGCGATTTTCCTTCTACTTGTGGGATTATTTGGCTGATGCTTGTCTCCACTACTGGACCTATTTTTGTTCACCCCTGAATCCCTAAAAGCACATATCTAAAAATGCCTGGCAGGTAGCAGGTCCTCAGAAATACCTGTAAAATGAATGAATCAAAATACTTTGTAAACAGTAAAGCTATGTGCAAGCATTAAAGTCAGACATTTGAGAAATTCATTAATTCAATAAATATTTACTGAATGCCTTAAGTATGTGCCAGTCACTTATTCTAAGGCAGTTGGGATGAATTAGTGAACAGAAAAGATCACTACACACAGAGCTTACATTCTAGTCTGGGAAAACAAGCAATGAAGATAAACACAATAATTAAGTATATTGGAAGGTGATAAATGATACAGAGAAAAGAGCAAGGCTGAGGAAGGTATAGGGGATTAAAACACCTGGTAGTCCTAAGGTACATGCATGTGAAAACAGCCAAGAGTCTACTGTGCTTGGAACCAAATGAGCAAGGCAGAGAGCAGTTAAGAGTGGAGGTCAGAGGGACAGGGAGCAGCCAGAGAATATGTCTCATATAGGCCAACATTTTTCTTTGTATCCTAATTAATTTTCTAAATAAACTGATAAACAGTTTCACGTTGCCTACACTCTTATACATCAATAACATAAAAGAGATCAGAATGACGCCCTGATAGTTCCCACCCACAGACTGATCTAATCCTGAGGCCATTCTCTTCATTTGGTGGTGGTGGTCTCAAATACAACAGAATTTTTATAAATGCAAGGTCCATGGGGATATCTCCAGAAGCAAATCAAGATCTCAGGGTTCATAAACCAGAAATGCCCTAAACCACACTTTGCTTCCTGGGACCCAGAACTGGCCCAGTCTCTAGATGGTACTTTGGGGGAAAGGCATTAGCTAGAGAGCCCCCAACATTTTAACGCTATGAATTCTCATAAGCTATATAAATAACCTTCAAAGTTGGTTTGGAGGAAACAAGAGCACCATTAGTAATCCATGGCTCATATAGTTCATGACTTTTCATATGTCACCATTATAAAAGCTCACCTACTGCAAACAGTCACAATGCTTCTGATGTCCTGGACACAAGTGATCAGAGACAAACCTTAATATAAAAATTTTATTTACTTAAGGCCTAAAGTAGTAAGTTAATCTACATTATACCAAAACTGTATTCTTATTAGTCAGTCTAGTCCAAAATTTTACAAATTCCCTTCAATACTTTATTTCCTAGCTTCCTCCTTCTAAAGCTGGAAGAGGAAAAAAATAATTCACCGAAAAGGGAGAAATACAATTATGACTCTAAATATAAAAAAGGACTGAGTTACAGGAGTGTCCTGCTCTGAGAAGCTCTGAGCAATCTGAAGAAATCTGCAGATGTTAAATACTTCAGTAACATCTAATATCACAGGTAATTATACAAAGCAAAAGAATATTCAGAATCCTGCATAACTCTCTAATCTGCAATCTCTACTTTTTTTTTTTTTTAAAGATTTTATTTATTTATTTGAGAGAGAGAATGAGATAGAGAGAGCATGAGAGGGGGGAGGGTCAGAAGGAGAAGCAGACTCCCTGCTGAGCAGGGAGCCCAATGTGGGACTCGATCCCAGGACTCCAGGATCATGACCTGAGCCGAAGGCAGTCGCTTAACCAACTGAGCCACCCAGGCGCCCCTGCAATCTCTACTTTCAAAGAGTCTAGGAATAAAAGTAAAATCACCTCTTATGCCTTTTACCTAATTACCCTTCAATGGAAAACAATTATTTTTTAGTATTAAAATCAAAAATACTCAGTGTATTTATACCTTGTTGAGTTCTTCTATCCTTCTGATTAGGTACGGGTTACTGGAGGAGTTCTCAAAGTAGACATAATCTGTAATTAAAGGAAGTAAAGAGCTTAATCTTTTCAACAGCAAGTTCACATTTGTCAATCTATGACTTCTGTATTAGGCAATGCACATTCAAAATGAAGCACATAATTCATTCCTGGGTAAAAGCAATACAACCTTAATACATTTTCTCATATGCCTACTACTCACAGACCCTTATTTTCCTGGCATTTTCATTTCAATTAATGTTTTATCAAGTTCTCCTAGTCTTTCCGGCCACACATCACTTCTTTACTAATAAACAAAAAGACTCTTCTCATCACCGAGTAGTCAGGGCTGACTAAACATGTGTCTTTCAAGCTATAACTGCTTCCACATCTTTTCCCTCCAATCCAATTTACCCTGGAGTATGCTCCTCACATAAAACTATTGACCTAAGACAAATTCAGAGCATCTTGAAAAGCTTAGCAGCCCAAAGTACATTTCAATCACCAACTTAAAAAAAAAAAAAAAAAATCAGGTGAGCAGAGTAGGTAAGAGGAAACATACTGACAAACTTTTCCACAGCTCTAGCTGGGATGATGGGGGAGGGGCATGAAAGGGGGTTCCCTTTCTGAAAGACAGAGCTCTCTGGAGTTATCAGGATTTTGATATGCTCTTTGCCATATTTAATCCAGATTCATTTCGGGTCTTGTTATAAAGAAATCCCTGCAGGCTTTCAATAAAAAAGATAAAAATTTTCAAGTGACTTTTCCTCTCCTGTAATAGGCTCACTGGAAACTTCCCACTGTGTGTTTATTTGAAAGGCTGGGCTGCATTGTTATTGTCTATCTTAGGGGCTCTTTCCCGTCTCTCTTCTGCAAAGTGGCCTCATTTGGCCACGCCATTCCCAACACCATCCATCAGGAGCTCAGCTAATGAGCAGAGAAGAGCAAGTCTCACACACAAACACGCCACTTATCTGAATTATTATTTTACCAAGAAAGAGGGAGGAGGGCGTCGTGAGTAGGGAGAAAGTTTGTTTGACCTTATTTCTCTCTTCTGCAGAAGGCTGGGAAGGAGGCAGTCACCAGAGCAAACGTCCAGGCAGAGCTCAACTCCCCACCTCTGGCTGCGGTGCCCCGGCCCCACTATGCCCCATCTTGGGGGGCTGGGCAAGAAACGAGAGGGGGGACTGAGGAAGGCGAGGTGCAGGGCCCTGTCCCCGCAAACAGGCCTGTCCAGCTGTGCCCCTGGCTTTGCCCCCATCGCCCCCACGCCCCTCACCCCTCACTCCCACTGAAGGGGAGGAGTAGAGCCGGGGAGATGTCCCCCCCATCCTCTCCAACCCCCACTGCCTGGAAGCCACGCGGGGAGAAACCCCCTATTAGGGGGCTCGACGGCCGATACTCAATGGGGGCGTCCTGGAGGGGGGCGTCTGAGAATTCACACCCCCAAGTACAGGCCTGGCCCAGAAAACTGAGCGGGGGTGGGAGCGGAGGGGGAG